AAATAATTTAAAACTGAAACTGAATAAAAAGAGTTTGAGAAAAAGAATCTGCAGCTCAACAGAGGCATCTGGAAAAAAATGAGTAAATAATTACTGAGCAAGTGTGGTGAAGGGAAGAAGGTTTGAGAAATTATTAAACTATCCAATAAGCTTATATGAAAAGTGATGATGGTGAGAATAACCAAGAAAGGAAAAGGTTACAATATCTATGAAGAGGAGAGGACAGGAGAGGCAAGAGTCTTGTGGACTGAAGTCTTTACTCTTACCTGTCTAACACTGACTTATGAGTTATTTCCCTTTGTATATTTGCCACCTGTCTGGTTGTGAGTGGAATTGCTTTCTAGAATATGTATATGACAGTGCTTGAGACATTCTAATGTATAGACCGGTATAGACCGGTTAAAAGTAGCAGGATCACTCTGATCAGGATGCCGTGATGATTGCATCTTCTGACGCATCCGAACTCATGCTCAGTCATGAGCTAATCTTGAGGCGACGGGTGTTTATGATATACTCTTTTAACCAGAGGTCACGGTCCTCCTAATTTCTAGGACTATAGCAACTGACGGCAACCGGATGACGACTCTCAGAGCCGGCGGTGCTGGAGATGCAGACGGACTTATTCATGGCTCTGGACAAGGCAATTCTCCTCGATGGTCTTCGTCGTGGCGCCTCGCTGTACAGCCCCGAGATGGATGAAGCCGTCGTTGAAGGCGTCGTTGAAGCCTCCGAGCAGGTCACGTGACTGCGTGGCAAGCCCAAGTGCCACTTCGACTCGCCAGCCCCGTTGCGTCGCAAGCATCTGCCGTGAGACGTGAGTCTTCGAAACGATTCAAGGGTGCTGGATAACGGAGAGCGGATCGGCGTGATCATCGCCCCAGTCTTGAGATGGTCGGAGGCAGAGTTGGCTTGAGCTGCTGATGTCGACGTGAATGTCATGGTCTGCTTGATGCCCAAGTTGCTTAAGCCCTGAATAGGCAGAAGTTTGAGTCCGTGAGGTGCAGACTCCGAGCCATCCGACAAACGAGATCGTCCCGTGACTGTGGTCCCAGCAGAGGGTGACCGAGCGACGAAGATGCGCTGTCGAGGGCGATCGGCAATGCGAATGGGAATTGCCTGAATATGAATTTAAAAGATGCAATCACAAACAATGGGACAAAATCTACGAAGCATTTAGTTGATGAGACTTTGGCTCGTTATCATGCCCAAGATCGGGCTTTAAGCCCTGCCAACACGGAAGGAGGCCATTGTCGTTTTGTTAAGCTTACCTCCATTTCGAGTGAAAGTGTTGGGGGAATAGATTCAAAGTTCGGTTCCACCAGACGACCAGTTGTCAATTGGCGCTGTTTCCGAGGTGATCTCCTTCGATTCTGGTGAAAAGGTGCTAAGCTTTCGTCCGTCATATGACGAACATCATCAGAGCAAGGTTTCAACGTCACAACAAAATTCAAGCTAACGAGTCAAGAAAACTCACCGGCGAATCCCTAAAAAGTGGTATATATATTCTACATCTGGCCCCTTTGATAAAGTAGAAACAGGCCAGATGTAGAGTATATATACCGGGCTCCTTGGAACCTTCCAAATGAGCATGTACTTTTAACGGTCAGTTGCTTCAGCTACACATCGAACATCCTACTGGAGAATCTTCATCACTTAGTGACTAAAGTTTTGACGTTCTCGAGATCGCATTTATGTTGAGCTCACTTCCATTTCGAATGTTAGTACTTTTTTGAAGAGAATCGAAGCTCAATCTCACTAAAAGACGACTGTGGATTCCTCTCTTGCCAGCAATCTTCTTCGATCCCGACTATTTTTCGCATAATTACTTTAAGCCATCGTTGCTGGTTTCGTAAATATATGAACATATGAATGCACATAAACACAAACAGACAGACACTCATACACTTCGAGGTCAACATATAATTTGAACTAACCAAACTACTCTATATCTCATCAGAGATCTTAAATTTAGGGTATATATATACAGCATTCAGGTTTAAGTTAGCGAATTTTTTTGACTAGTTAATTAGAATATGGTTGTAAGGATGATGCTCTGCTCTGGTGATATCCACCTTTCAACGGACAAAATCCTAGCAAGTTTTCACCGGAAGGAGATTGCATCAGAAGCAGCCTCAACAAGATGGCTCCTGTAAAGCCAATCGACAGCTGATCAGGAGGAATCCGCGTCGTCTTCTGGTGAGGTCCAACTTTGAGTCTCTTCACCAAACACTTCCACTCAAAATGGAGGCTCAACAGGTAGGAAACAAGAGATTCCTCTAAAACCAACTTTTCTTTGCATTCATGTTGACGAGTTTCCTAAGCCAAGGAGTCGGAGAGACTTCAAAAAAGATGCCTTTTTAAAAGATATT